TATTTTTCGAAAACTCTTGGAAGTGTGATATAAGATAGAATTTAGGGTTGTGACCAGAGAACGGTCTCATAGCCATCCGGATCCATGTGTACGTCACGAACCAAAATTCTTTCTTAAATCACAGTTCCTAGTGTTTTCGAAAAAAAACCGCGGAGCTCTATGTTTAGTTTCATGGATTGACCACTTTTACGGATGTTCCGGATCGTCCGATCCCATGGCCATCTGAGTCCATGTTTATACCACGACCCCAAATTCTATCTTATATCACAGTTCCTAATGTTTAAAAAAAAAACCGTGGATTGACTATTTTTACGGATGTTCCGGTTCTTTCGGAGGACCGCTCTTAACGAAAGATTAAGATGAACTTCAAATCAATCAGAATGTTGTTTCTTGCCTTTGATGTATCAACGGATCAACATATTTTTTGCTTAACTTCTAAAATATAAAAAAAGCTTTGGGGTCAGATTTTTTTTAGAAATCGTGCTAACCCCACGGAATTTCCATAATATTTCATAATAAGACCGGAATTCGCAAAATTTTAAACTAGAATTTCTGATCTATTGAAAGCTGTTTATTCTAAATAGGTTAAGAAATTACTTTTTTTTCCTTGATTTGTTTTCCGTTGATCTTGTTTTCCGTGGAGAGCACCAATATTACCGACGCCAGGGAGGCAGCTCCCACACCTGGACCGTACCTACCGGGGGGACCAACAAGCCTTCGGAAGGGAAGTAAAGCCTAAGGAAGGTGTGCTCAGAGATGTTATGCCTCAGAACATTCCGGCGGCACCGACTGGGATTGAACCCACACCTGCTGGGGCGAGAGGCAATCACGCTTACGTTGTAAATCTTATTTTATATTTTTTAGGTTTGGGCTCTGCGCAAGCTATCTCGATATGGAAACACTTATGGCCCCGGAACCGCTTAGTCCCAGAAGGGAACCAGCCTAAGCCCCGAGCTGATGATCTTAAGCCAACGGCAGCTCCTGGGGTGGGCACTCAAGGCCTCTTTTGGTTCCGGGTCCCAGGGCGTTTTTGCGTGGGGAAGCTTTCGGATTGTGGGGAATTCCTATCCAACTATAAAAGTAGAATTTACCTTACATTTATTTGTTATGCGAACCAATATGATGAGCTTGGCATTGTCTAGATGGTGGCGGCCAGTTAGTGACAACCGGATGTTGGTGACCAGATGGCGGCAGCCCAATACCGTATGGTAGCAGCCTTAGGAAAGCACCCCTATGGCGGTGGCCTGCTGGCGGTGGCCTGGTAGCAGTGGCCAGATGGCGGTGTCCGGATGGTGGTGCCCGGATGGCGGTGCCCTGATGGCGGTGGCTTGCGGACGATGATCTGATAGTCGCTGTCTGATGGCGTCGTTCTGTCATGAAACCAACGATCTTCATCTTCCTGCAGTGACGCGAACCTCGTGCTTCGCATCTCACGTCCACTACCGTCTCTACCATTATTCCACCGCACGTCTGCCTAGAGGCAACGCTACACACCGACTCCTCCGAACTCTGTATCCTCCTCACCATCCACCCATAGTCGCACTCACACCACTCAGCTCTCTCGTTCGCTACCACATTTCCGTTCCAATTACTGCAGCTGACTTCACTCGTCACCCACAATCGTTATCGGTGCTACCGTTCGCAATTTAAATTGGAAGTTTGCTGAACACATGGTGCCCTATGTTCCCACTTAAAATAAAAATACAAAATGTTACCATTTAGGATGGTAACAATATTGAAGGGATTATCGAGTTTTGGGGTTAAATTTTAAAAATCTCTATGGGAAGTGTGGTCAAAGTAGCCTGGATTTCCTTTGCGTTAGAGAGAATATGGCGTTAGTAAGGGAGAGTTGACTGTATGCAAAAAATCACATCAGTTCTAAATGATAAAACCGGAATTTCACTATATTGTTCACAGATCAAAAGTTTCAAGGAGTTCTTACCTAAAATTTCTTCTACATACATCCAATATAAAATTCTATTGGTTCTTAAACTTATAGGGTAAGATTTTGTGCAATGAAGATGTGTGAAAAGTTCAAATGTTGGTTTAATTACGTTTAATTATAATTATCTACGGTAACAAAGATATTTAAGTGCAAAAAACGATTTTTAACCATTTGAACTAAAACAATCAATAACGTCTTTGTAGGAGTTTTCGACTAATAAATAACTTTGTCCAAGACACCAACTCTCAAAAAAGAATTATTAAAAGGCTACATTTTTAATAACAGTTTAGTACATATTTAGTACACTTATTTTTTGTACGAAACGATGGCTTCTTTCATTCCAAAAACATTGCGCAAGACACAAAATTACTAAAATTACTTGTTTTTCTGAGTATTTCTGAGCCACTGTGCACTAGACCGATGCAAAATTTGAAATTTTCGCTCCACAGTGCTTAAACGGTTCCAAGTTGGGTCCTACTTAGCCTCCCAAAATTTGAACTACTTTAGTAAGAAACTGACTTGGCACAAACAATTTCAAGTTTATATGGGAATGACTATGGGAAAACTTATGTTTTTGTTTATATTTATCTAACAATTCACCACATCACTGTGCTTTTAAAAATGATAGCAGTGATTGTAGCAAATTCTCTCAGCTACAAATTGGTAGAAAACCACTTTTCAATCAAATGCACGGAACAAAAATAATTAATGATTCTAATGTCTAATGATTAGGCTCTTTCAACTGTTCAGCAGGCAACATTGGTGTTTCTGGTGAGAAGAATAGAGCACAAATATCATGGCTACTATGTCTCACTGCAGAATACAGTGTTTATAACAGAACAGCTGCTTGATCATGCCATGAGATTATCAATCTCTTAAACAATTAATAACTATTTAATTTGACATTTGGCTGAAGACGATATTCCGCAAAGTTGTAGCTTAGAAAAATTCCCGTAAGAATAGTAATATTACTTTTCGAAAAAGCAATATGGAAAATGAGTAGAAGACAAAGAACAAAAGTTTGGTTTTCCCATAATAATTTCCATATAAACTTCGAGTGATTTGTGACAAGTCAGTTTCTTACCAAATGAATTTAAATTTTGGGAGGCTAATCAGGACCTGATTTGAAGCCGTTTGAGCACTGTTGAGCGAAAATTTCAAATTTTGCATCAGTCTACTGTGTACTGTATATCAAGACTCAAGAGTGAATTTTCGAAACGGTTTTTTTTTCAAAAATTTTAAAACACCACCACCAGATAGGGTGAAACTTCCCCAACATTATGGTGGTGGTAGATTGCGTAGGCGAGCTAAGAGTTTCGACAAATTGACGTTTGATTATTTGTTTACAAAAGCAGATACAGCTATTTGAAAATTCACTCTTGATGCGGGCATAGAAAGATCTCAATTAACAACTCTCGCGTCACTTTTCAAAAGGTCCTAAGTAACAAATTTAAACAAATCGAACTAAGCGATTGCTCTTCTATCATTGTATGTGCTACAAAAACATCCATCCAAATTTACTTTCATTTATTTAAGATAATCATAGGTCAAACATTGTCCAATGTACAGTTTGAAATGATGGGTACATGATTGTTACTTCGGTCATTTGGACTGCCTAACATGATTGGTGCTCATTTTCTAAAGGCGGCGCCAATCTAAAGTTAGATACTCTACTCTGAAATCTGTGAAAGGGATTTTAGTATCATGTAGAACAAAACGTCCAATCTAACAATTATTGATTATGTCATTGAGAAAAATCGTCCGATGTACAACTTGACTAGTCAAAATGTCCTATGGGTCATTCCAGCTCAAGTGGGTACAGAATTTAAAAAAGTTGTGGTCGTTGTCACCGATTTGAGCCAAACTTGGTCAAGACGCATATTTTGGTATTCTGAACGAATGCCTTTTTTTGATTTTGCTCTAAAGTGCCTAGATTCTTCTGGGCTACAGCCCTGGGTTTTCGAGATTTTTAAAAATTTCAACTTTCATGAAGAGATTTTAGTGTGTTGGTTTATTTCCTTTAAATTCCGTTATAATTGCTTATCTTTTGACAGATACACCAACTTTCAGAAGAGATTACTCCACAACCAAATAAGCTATTCGTTATTTTAGAACGTCAATTTGAAGGTTTTTTAATGTTAATTCTTAAAAGTGTACAAACATTTTGTTTTTTGTTTTAGTTATAGTAACTACAGTAAACAGACTGTCTACCGGCAGGTATCGAATTTGTCAAAAAATGCATATTTTCACCATGGGCGGGATTTTTTATTTTTTTAATGTTTTGGGCTCAAATTTTCACCACACTTTGGAAAACTCTTCTACTTGATGTGTTTCCAAGGGCAAATGATTTGGAAAATTTGTTTTTGAGATATGACCAGATGAATGAGTTTGGAGTTTTTCTGGTGAAAAATCAATGCTATTTTAAATATTTTTACATTTTTCTTGAATTCCTTCACGCTGATGGCACAATAATATACGTGTTTTTTTTTCTCTATATTGTAGCATGAAATTCAAAGTAAAATCGTGATTTTACCGTTTCTACTAAATTTTCAACGTCATTATTCACTAACTACATTAAAAATAGTATTACAAAATTCGGAGACGAGCCAGCCAACGGCTGAAAGTCTCCTTAATAAAGATATAAAAAAAAAAAAATATTGCAAAATGTATTGTTTCTAAACAGTTAACATAATTATCTGTCGAACTTCAACTTCAATTTTCTCAAAATGACGGATTTATTACATGGGTCTATTTGAAAAGTTACGTGAGAATTCTACTTGTGCACAAGGAATACTAAATTGAAGGGCCAATCACGAAGAAGTGGAAAAATCGAAGCGATTATGCCAAACGTACTAATCCCATTCCATTTTAATGCTTCATCAATGGAAAGTGCACCTCACACTATTCCGGCTAGAATAAAAATCCCAGTAAATAAAAAAAGTTAGAACAGGTCGACATCTACATAAAATAAAACCAACAGCAATAAAACGTAAGACTACATATCCCACATGCTCTCAATATCGTTGCAATTTCTGCAACCGCAGCAAATACTTACATGATGTAAACACCTGCAGTGTACCCGTGCACCATGATGTCGACTCCGACACCGCTGACCACTGGAAAAGCGCCACCGGAATGCAGAAAGGAGAAGAAGAATTTCGTTAAAACAATGTGGTTTCGGGCTGCATTTTCCTTAAAACTATTTTCCACGTTGGGAGGCCAACGGAACGATCTGAGAGGCGTTGAACGTGTTTCCTGGACCCTACTGGTCTCTCTTTGTGCTACCAGCTAGTGCTTAAAGAAGAATGTTACGCATCGAAAAATTTGCATCTCCTAAGAGCTACATCACGGAGGAATAAATTTCAATATTAAACCATCAAGACAGTAGGTACCTCCTATTTCAAGATTTACGAAGCGTGAACAACGTGCTGGCCAAGGATGCTGCAGCAGTGCACTATTTTATTCATTCCGAGTTGAAAGCAATTTCCGTACGCACTCTCAAAGAGATACGTATAAAATAGAACAGGGGGCTCTCTGGGCTGCATGCGGCAGCATTAGGTGGGAGCATCGTTCTGGATTTAAATATTAGATATTCCCATTCCTAATCCTTCAACTTGTTCTGCCACCAACATGCGGCACCCCACAGCTGGTTATCTCTAATGGATTCTGCTTGACTTGAATTAGTAATTGTGGAAAAACATGACCAATTTAGTTTGCGCTTCAGCTGCCGGGCGAGTCTGCTGATGGAATGCTTGATCGAAAATAAAAGGAACATTGCTATTCAAGCTTGGGCGAAAATTTGTAGATTGGCACCGATACCGCCATCAAGCTATAGCTTTCCCATCAACTTTTATGACAAAGCCGCTGGAAACCCAACACGTGGTAGGCACGTCTGTTCGCGCCATCAACGCCATGCCACTGCCATGATGATGCTATTCACGACAGACCCATATCGCCGCCGTATCAGACAGAACGCATCGCGTTTTCCTCCGTCCTTGTCAACGGAAAGGCGTGTCATTTTGGACGGATTAAAATTTCAAAATATTAACAACAAGCTCCAAACATGGCAACGCGCGACAGACACCAGATTGGACACCTGGGTCTATGAAGTCAGTTTTGCATGCTCGTTTGGGAAAGTTTTTTTTTTCTTTCTTGCACCCTTTATGGGATGGGAAACAGAGGACGGAAATAGGTGCTTTCGGTTCGTAGCGCGTGCGATAAAGTTGTGTGAGTCTATCTCGGAAAATGGGAAAAGTTTTGGCAGGTTTTAATACTGTAACACTTAAACTTACTTTTGTTACGAATTGTGAGATAAGTTGAAGCAGAGCGATTCAATAAAGGGGTAATGAAATGGTGGTAAACGATAGAAAAAAGTATGATTAATTCAGCTGGATAAAAAATCAATACTTGAGTAACTGAAACATAAGCATTACCTCCCCCCTATGCAAATAGTCATTTATTACATTCCCAATTTGGCACACGACACCAGAAATCTCCGGCCACTCACGTTCGGTGACATTTTCCGATTAGTTCCGATTCGTGACTTGGCACTCATGTCATAGTGTATCATCAACACAGCACAGGATTGCAAGGTGGGTAATCCTAGCAAGGAAGAAGAACGTGTGTTCTATCCTATGACCGGCATCATCCATACATTGTAGAAAGGTACCTACTCGAGTAGACGAGAGTATCAAATCAATAGCAAGTTTTACTATTAAAATTGCTATTAGTTTGATTGAACCAGTAACGCTGGTAGATCACCTTTTCGTGGTGCGTTACTGGTATAAGATCTACCTTCGAACCCTTAGTCATGACAACAGGATTTTCCGGTAATCAAAAGAACACATTTAAGTCCTTTTTATTTTTATGCCATACTCGGAGAAGTAGTCGCAATGCCTGTTGAATTGTGAAGTTAATTTAAATCAAATTTAAAATTAAAATTAAAAATTCTTGAAATAAGGGATACTTTTGGTGAAGCTTCACTGTGCAAATTGCTCAGCGCTTATCTACTTTAGTGTAATGTAAAAGTGGTTGTTGCTGATATTTCTGTTAGTTGAAAAAGTTAGAGGCAAACGAATGTAAATAAAGACACGAAACGATTGACATCATTGCGTGAATTGATTTATTTATACTTTATATATATACTTTATTAACTTTCCGTAAACTCTTCATGCATATTTTGTTAGATCATATTTGAGGCTTTTAAATCCACTATCACAAACTGCGGTGACATATGATGCCAAAATTGTTTTCATTAGTCAAAATCACGAAAATAAGCATTACATTATTGAACTAGCCACCGACTAAAATCTCTCGTATAAAGATAAAATTCTTAGGAGACTTTTCATGCGAGAAAAATTCCAAGAGAAGGAGCTTGGGGCAAGACAGATTTCGATCATGAATAAAATCGGAGTTAATGTTGAGTAACTCTGATAGCGAATTTGTTTATTATTCAGTTCCAACCTGGATCGGGTATCAAGGTTGGGTCTGCTTGTTTTCTGACAAACGTCAGTTTGATCGTTTGTTTTTAAAACCTACCTCGCACTGACAAAAAGTTCGGTTTCGCACTGGGTTGGAACTGGTTTCAACCCCGATAATAAACAAATGCGCTATGAGTAACTTGCATTGCTCAACATCATCTACACATAGCAACCTGGTTGTTGTGTTGAAACCGATGCTGTCAAGCAAACATAATTTACGTATTTCAACATTTTATGTGGTGCCCTTTCGAACCAAATTTTAACCGAGAAAATATTTCGGCAATGGAAAGGCAATTTCACTTTCGTAACATATGTAACATAAGTCCTGGGAATACTTTCAGGTGTTTATTTGACGGCATGAACAAACACACATATGTCAACCAATGCACTTGTCACGCTTATCTACACTGTACACAAACATCATCCTCTGATCGAATGAAACCTCAGACCATTCAAAACAAAAGACCAAAATCGCTTTTTCGAATGATAGCTGCAACCGGATGACGGTTGTTTTGAAATCAGATGATTTTCCTCTCGAATACTGGATGAAACTTGCTATGAGAAGGGATAGGGCATTCAGTTGAAATGCGTAATGCTCTCTGCAGAATGACTGTCATACTAAATGAAAATGCATATGGTATTGGTTCAGCCCCATAACGCAAATCATTCAAAACGATGATGTAAATAATTCTATCGAATGTCATTTGCTGATCTGAGCTGACAAACGAGGTAGAAGCATAAGCATCGCTATCAGAGCTGTTACGAACAAAGGTAAAGGATGAAAATCAATGTTTGGCTAATTCGTGGTGGAGAAGGTTTTCTCCACCACGAATTTTTTTTATATTCATGATGGAATTGTACATAATCAAATTATAAATCTAATTAAAAGCACTTGCATGTCACACTATTCTTAAATGTTTGTCCATAGGGGTAAGACACTTGTACTCAGAGTTAATTTATTTGCAGTGAGTAAATTTGAGTTACTCATATTTACTCAAAAACAAACAAAGTAGTCTAATATTTTTCATCAAATAGCGTTCAAACAATCTCCGTCTGACAGAATGTTTTGATTTCAAGATTTAGTTTTCATTCATTAAAAGATCCAAGTTAGATGGCTCTTGTCCAGACCAGGGGATGTTTAGGTCTCTTTTCCTTTCTAGGATGGATGGCTAAAGTGTAATGTCTTTGAAGTTTTTGGTGATGTGGTGGTGTAAAATAGCTGAAGACTCTTCCCGGGAATCGGGAAATATTTTCGGTAGTAAAACTTGAACTTCGGTAGTAAAACTTGAAATGTCCCCGGAAGATTTTTCCGACTATTTCTGGAAGTTTCTTCCAACTTCCCCTTGAAGATTTCGATCAGCTTCTTCGGAAGGATTCTTATGATTTCTCTGGGAGGTTTCGTCTGACTTTGCACGAAAGTTTCTTCCAACATCTCCTGGAAGTTTTTTTTAAACATGCCCTGAAAGAATCTTCCACCTTCTCCCGCAAATTTCGTCCATTGTTCAACGGAAGTTTCATCATCTTTTCATTCCAACAGTATCAGATTACAATCAGAAGTCCTACCGCTAGAAGTGGAAACTATTTCCCATTTCATCCGGACTTCCCACGGAAAACTTTCTGAATTATTCTGAAAGTTTCATCCGGCTGCCTAAATTTGCATGGAAGTCTCTTCTAACTTCACCCGGGAATTTCTCACAGATTGTGTCAGAAGCGTCTACCGGTTTCGTTTGGAAGATTCTTCGCCAGAAAGCTTTCCTGACTTCGCACTAAAAATTCGTCAAACTTTCTCTGGAAATTTCAATCAATTTTCCCCAAAAGTTGTGTGGTCATTTTAAATATAACATATGTGGTTTGGTTTTGGAATGGTTTTCGTACAAAAAACTGCTTCTCGGGAAGTCAAACTAGTTTTTTGAGAATCGGGAAATGATAATTCTGGTAAATTGCCCGGGCAGGAAACACTAGATGGTGTGATTTCAAGACTAAGGAAGTAAGAATTTGGCCAAATATTTTCAGAAGATTAATTTATCTCATGAAAATTAATACTCAATGTCACAAAATCGTTCAAACAGGTTTCATATTTTGTTGCAATGTCAGAGTTAGGGTCAACTCTCTCCAGAAGCGTTCGTTGTTTTTCCTGATACTCCTCCAAAAATACATCAATAGACACTAGTTGAAAAAGGTTTATCAGGAACAGGTTGAATTTTCATCGTCTAGTGTTGTTGTGTTGATCGATATTTAGCACAAAAGGAGCATTGTTGAATGCGGTCTTTTATTTAACTATTCATCCCAGGTCAAAATAGGTCAATTCTGGTCAACTTCATAGTTGATTCTATTCTGAAACTTATATGAAGTTTGTCAATGAGCGATCGTCGAAGGGATGTAGGAACCACCACATACCATTTTTTCATACTGGGATTGTCCAGAATCTACCTTTGGTTTGACTGGATTATTAGGAATCCCCCCTGGACAGTCATGAATCCCCCTCAATATTGAGTGAAAGTCTTACTGTGTTACTGTGTCCGGAAACCTCCCTGGGATAGTTCATATTCCTTCTAAGGATTTTCCGAAGTTACATTTGATATTTTTGGGAAACCTAACTGGGATTGTCCGAAATTCCCCTAGGCTTGTTCGGAATC